ACCCTTTGTCTGAGCCAGATCCGTCCTCCCGCCCCCTGCTGCACGTCCTCCCTCATGGCGTCTCTGGTCCTCGCGGACTCCCCCAGGACGCTCACTGATGCCTGCCTCTCGTGCCGTAGGCTGCCCTATGCCGGCTACTTTGGAGGCGTGTCCGGCCTGAGTAAGGCCCAGTTTTTGAGAATCAATGGCTTCCCCAACGAGTACTGGGGCTGGGGTGGTGAGGATGACGACATCTTCAATCGGTGAGTAGGGAGCCGATGGAGAGCAGACTGGGGGTGTCGAGGGGTGACATGCACACTGGGCGGGGCTCCCTGCCCTCCTGTGCCTGCTCCAGCCCGTCTGTCCCCACCCCCAGGATCTCCCTGACTGGGATGAAGATCTCACGCCCAGACATCCGAATAGGCCGCTACCGCATGATCAAGCACGATCGGGACAAGCATAACGAGCCCAACCCTCAGAGGTGACCCCCAGCCCCCTGACCCACGGGGCCCCCAGCTCCCCCCCTCCCAGGTGACCTCCAACTCCTGCCTCCTTGGAGTTGACCTCCGTGCATTCCTGACCTTAGAAGTCACTTCCCAGGACCCCTTAGAGGGGATCCTGATCCCCAGGTGTGACTCCAAGACTCCTGATCTTTGCTAGAAGTGACATCTGGCACACCTGGATTTACCCCTAGCTCAGCCTGCGCCCCGGCTCGCTCTTGCCTCTGGTTCCTTGAGGTGACAGACATAAAGGCAGGACTGCCTTCTCACCAGTGTGCCCCTGTGTGGACCCTGCTTAGAGTGGCCCTCCCAGTGAGTGAGCACTGCGAGCAACCTCCTGGGCCTGGGACATCAGCAGAAGTGGCATAAACTGCATGAGCAGGGAGCGGGAGACAGTGGTGACCCCATGATTGGAGGAGGTGGCCCCATCCCTGAGGATGTAACAGCATTTGGTGGCTGAAAGGCATGTGCATTGTAGACAAGTGCCTCCTGATGCTGCTCTGTGTCTCCCCTGCTAAGTCTCGTGCTAAGTCTTGCGGGGAAGGTGCCCTGAGCAGTCATACTTCGTCCCTGCTGTCCCTCATGAAGCTTTCTCAAGGGAGGGAGAGCGGCCATGACCGCACCAGGTCATCAGTGAGAGGGGGTGGCTAAGCTGGGGTAAGAGGGAGTTTCCTGGTGGTGGGAAACGAGCCATTCAACAAGAGGCCTTCACCCAGCCAGCACTGGGCACACGCTTCCCTGGTGCGCGGTGCTAATGGAGGAGGCCGCTGTGGATAAAGGGAATAGCATTGGCAGAATGCGCTTGAATAATACATGTGGAGACTCTTTCACTGGTTGGTTTTGAGACCTCTGGGAGTGGGAGGAGAGGCGGGAGGGCATGGGGGCGGGGTGGGCAGGGCTGGGTGCTAGGAGTCGTGAACCCCAGGCTGCACGCTGGGGCAGCGGGAAGGGCGGTGGGGAGGGCTTTCTGCAGGGAAGGGGCCAGCTCCGATTCGTGTGTGGCAGGCTTGTTCTTTGGACCTGAGGAAGGTGATGGTCTGGTTGAGCTGGGCCTGAGTGGACCAGGTTTGAAGGAAAAGCCCAGGTGGGGGCCTGGGGTAAGGATCTAGAAGGCTGCTGTGCCCCGGGCGTGTACAGGAGGTCCCCTGTGCCCTCAACCCCGCGGGTGGGAGTGGGGAGGGGATCGCAGCGCTGAGTAGGGTTGGTATAGGCCAGACGCATTAAGTCCAGGGAAACCCAGGGTGTTGACCGAGGCAAACACAGCCCTGATGAAAGCCACGGGAGCAGGGAGGGGACGACAGGCTGGGAGGAGAGAACCTTCCAGATGTCGGAGGGCGGCGGGCAGGCATGCGGTATGGGGATGGCTCAGGAGGAGAGGGCTGAGAGCTGAGTGCAGAAGGCGAGAGATGAGCCAAGCCATTAGGATGAGGTAGGGAGTGGAGCTCTCTCTCGAAGCGCTCGAGAGTCCTGGTCCTCTCTGGGGAATAGCATGCCTGGGTGCCATCATCAGCTAATGGTATCTGCAAAGCAGCCCGCAGTCAGTGGTCTAAGGTTTTTTAGGAGGGTGACTTGGAGAGGGTCCCAGTTGTTTGTTAGAGATCCTGGCGGAAGGGGATGAGATCTCCATTTTGAGGGGCAAGGAGAACCTAGCACCCCTAGAATGACTTAAGCCTTGGTCCCAGAGGTCCCATGCTGGGTTCCGTGGTTAGCTGCGTCTCTCCACCCCGACCCCCCACTGGCCCTCACTTGACCCACTGCTGTCTAGGTTCACCAAGATTCAAAATACGAAGCTGACCATGAAACGGGATGGCATCGGATCTGTGCGCTACCAGGTCTTGGAAGTGTCTCGGCAGCCACTTTTTACCAACATCACCGTGGACATTGGGCGACCCCCATCATGGCCACCTCGGGGCTGACACCCACGGACGGAGGCTCCCTACAATACTGAGGATGGTCAGAAGACTTAACCTCCAGCCCGGCTGGTGGCTGAGAGGGTGGCTGGGGGAGCCTCCAGGACTGAGACTGCAGGCCCTGTTTTTTGAAGGGCTTCAGCAGGCCCCCCCACCCCACCCCAGCTGCACCTGGAAGTTTCAGAACCCACTTTGGGAGACTTCCAGCCTAGGCTGGCCCCTCTAGTGTGGCCCTTTCTGGGGTCAACCCCCCTCTCCTGACCCACCATCCCAGCCTAACCCCCCTCACTGTCAGGGTCGGGCCAGCCCCTGCACTGCCTCCTTGAGTGGCCTGGGCTAGGTCACTCCACCTCTCTGTGCCTCAGTTTCCCCCTCCCCCATTGAGTCCCCTAGGGCCTGGAAGGGTGGGAGGTTTGACTAGGGGGCAGTATCTCTTCCAGGGGGCATCCTCAGACCGGGGGACCACCACCCCCATGCTCCCAGGGGAGGGGAAACTTTTTTCATTCAACATAGTAGGGGGCACACTTTGGTAAACCCTCTGCTGAGGAGCAGCCCCAAGAGGGGACCAGAGGGGTGCGTGCGGTGTTGTTGCCTGGGCTCTTGAGGTTGGGCTTTGCATGCAGGTCAGTGGGGCCTGGGATCAGTTGGGCATCCTGTTCCTGCCTCCCTGTCTGCGGAGGCCGCAGCCCCAGGGCCGGCTCGTGTTTGTACATTGCACAGAAACTTGTGTGGGTGCTTTAGTAAAAAACGTGAATGGAGCAAGCCCCCTCTCTTTGTCGAGATGCGCTTTCCAGGCCTCTGAACCCCAGTTTCTCAAGATCCGTTATTTGAAGGAGAGCCCCTAGTCCAACCTACAGTCACTGCCTGCACCCCAACTCTAGACGTCAGCCCGAGAGAAATAGTTTGCACGGCGGTCAGTGCAATGAAGCTGTCTCAGGTTTTTGGTCCCCGAAGCCCGTTGTACCATGGGGGCCAACGAGAGGCTTTGGGCACGGCCCTGGACACGGCTCCCACTCGGTGCTGGGGAGTTCTCAGTACCATACTCAGCATCCACACAGGGTCCTGACTCTTCGGGAGCTGGCACCGCCCCCCTTGGCCCGGATTGGTGGGGTGGGGCTTCAGGGGGCGGGGCACGGTTGCAGCTCGGTTTCCCTGGTGACCGTCACGCGGAAGAGGCGGGGCCGCGGCTCCAGCGCCCAGGGCCGTACACCTGCGGGGCCGAGACGGCGAGGCCGCCCCCGAGAGCGGCCGAAGTTGGACAGACGTGGAAGTAGGACGGGACTGGGGGCCCTGGACCCGGTCATTCCGGCGGTGGCGGGGGTGGGTGCCGGCGCGAGGGCGTGCCCGAGCCCCCGGCGACCCGCCTGTCTCCCGGCAGTCCTGCGATCTGTCTGGCTGCCGCCGGAGAGGAGAGCTGGGGGCCGCGCGGGCGGGCCATGTCCCAGGACTCCCTGTCGCTGTGGCAGCTGGTGGAGGAGCATGTGCCACTCCCGGAGCGGCCCGAAGTGAAGAGGCTCCTGGGGGAAGCGGCGGTGGACCTCAGCCTGGAACTGCGAGCCGAGGTGGGGAGTGGGAGATGGACCACGCCCCAGACTAGCTCCACCGCCCGACTGTCGCCCGCCAGCCCCTCTGGTTTCTGGCTTTGCCCTATAGCTCCCTAGACCTCATGGAGTCTCACGGGACCCGCCCCCCTTCCCCAGCCTTTTGTCACCCCATGCGCGTCCTCCCCAGTCACAAGGCACCCCAGCCCTTCTTGCAGGTGGCCGTCCTGCGGGAACTGCTCCTTGAAGCTCCATCCTCCAAAAGTGCCACTGTGGGCCCTGCCTCCGACCCCTGTGCCCTACTGGCACCACCGCCCCTTATAAGGGAGCTTGTGCGTCAGGAACTCTGGCACCTGCTCCAAGGACTCCGACACAAGGCCATCTGCCAGGGCAGGTGGGAGCCTCAGCCTTTGGGATGGGCCCCTGCCGACAAGGAGTCAGGGTGGCCATTCCCTGGTGTCCGGCAGGATCCTCCTTCACACACCCTGCCTGCAGGGACCAGGCCCAAGCGTGGGCCGCGTACAGCCCCAGGGTGGTGCGCTTTGCTCTGGAGGAGCCCCGCCAGGATTCCCCGGAGCAGGAGATACTGGGAATGCGAGCTCACCAGCCCAGGTAAAGGCAGGAGATACTGGGAATGAGCTCACCTGCCCAGGTAAAGGTGGTAGGAGAGGAGGTGTTGCTTGCTTCCTGCTGGGTGGAGGCCCAGCCAATTGGTGGTTCCTGCACGGAGGAGCTTCCAGCGTGGGGCTGGGGGCTTGTACAGCCCCCTGTGGAAGGGACCTGCACCTGAGCTCTGCAGCAGCCCAGGAGACCACTGTCCAGCCTGCTGGAGAAAGACACTGGGTTGATCTGGGTCTTAGAGGAGCTTTGCAGAAGGGAGCACCCTACACAGACGAGTCAGGCAGGAGGCCTGGCAGGAGGAGCAGCAGAGAGGCAGGGAGAGGGACTGAGGGAGAGTGCAGGAGCCTGTACCACCCGTAAGGAGTGGGTGGGATCAACTTCTGAGCTTTGTACAGCCCTGCCGGGTGGGTGATGTCCCCATTTTGCAGACCAAAGGTCAGAGGAGATAAAAGTTCACATGTAGTTAAGGCCTGCAGAACTTGTTCTCAAAGCCAGTGTGAGAACCGCTTCTCTCTGTGGCAGAGAAGACGTAAGTGTTGGCTGGGGCAGCGTGGTTGTGGCCTGAAGGCCTGGGGTGAGACCACACTGCCTTTGTGATGTCGACTTCATCTGCCAGCAGCAGCCGCGGGGACCTCCGTGTCCTCAGGGACCAGCTGAACCCGTCTGATATCGACCAGGTTGCCGGGCACCTGCGGTGAGGCCCAGAGATCCCTGAGTGTGTGCTTGGGTGTTTGGGCAGAGGCTGGGGCTGGATGCTGATCTTGGAGCACTTGCATGGGAGAGAGGAGGGAGGAGGAAGCAGCCCTGGGAGGAGTCACGTGAGTAGGCCTGAGAGAGGGAAAGTGCATGTGGGTTTGCTGTCCGGTACCCAGGTTGGTACCAGGAAGTTGCCAGCTACAGATGCCAGCGGGGGCCATGTGGTCTTCGGCGATTGGAGACAGGAAGGAGCCACACAGGGTTTTAAGGAGAAGCCGGGCTGTGCTATGAGGGAGTGGAGGGATAGGAGTCCAGGGCTTGGGAATACAAAGGATGGGGCCTGCAAGGTGTGCGCTGAGGGGGTGAGGAGTGGACTTGTCTGCTCAGGAAGAGGCTGGTGGGGCCAGATGGCCCGAGTAGCACCCAGGCAGCTGGGGACCATGTGGGCTGAAACCAGAGGGGTGGGAGTGGAGGGGGAGCCTACTGCGGCTGAAGGTAGGGTCCAGCTCTGCTCCTCTGGACACTGCCCGTGGCTGGCTGCCTCGCTCCCTCACACCCCAGGGGCCTCCTGGAGGATGAGTGTCGCACCTTGGAGAGGGAGATCGCCATCCTGCAGGTAAGCTCCGACCCGCCATTCCCTCAGCACCTTTGCGTTGAGCACAGAAACACGTTTCTCCCCACATGCCCTTGTGTGCGGGTGTGCAAACATCGCGAGTCCCGCATCTCATTTCTTGTGGGCACGCTCCTCGTGTTTGCGCGCACAGCTTGGGAGCCCAGGTTCTGGCTGAGACCCTGAGTTGAGGGGCTACAGCTTTAGATTCGCCTGCTGGATCGCCCCAGGTCTTGTCTCCTCCTCTTAGCTAAATCTGGGGGCAGGGCCCAGCCTAACCTCGCCAAGCTCAGCTTTTAGTGAGGCTCTGCCGCTCCCCCAAGGTGGGCCTGTCCGCCTGTCCTCCAGGAATTCGGGATGAGGGAGCCTCGGGGGCTGGGTCTCCAGGACTCCCCTTCTTGTCTGGGGCCCCGCCTCTTTGTCTGTCTTGCCTTAGGTGGGGCCCTGATCCAGTTCTGCCCACAGGGTTGCCTGTTAAAGGAGTACACGCGGACATCCCAGCCCCCCGAGACGGCCCTAGAGCCCACCCTGGCAGGTGAGGCCCTGCGCGCCCCCACCCCACATTCGGGCACTCTGGAAGAGCAGGGCCCTGGGGTCTCAGATGCGCCTCCCCACCCAGAGCTCCGAGAGCAGAAGAAGATCATGGAACAGGACCTGCAGGCCCCCCTGGCGCTCTCCCCCGCCTCCCCCAGCCACAGGTACAGCAAAGCAGGTGGACAGCGGGGCTGGGGTGTCTGAGGGCTGGGCCACAGACAACCCCTTACAGCGACTTCCTCCTATCCAGGCAGCGGCCATCAGGCTGGCCCCTCTCCCTGGTCCCGCAGGCCGTGAGGCCTTCCCTCCAGGATCCCAGGCCCTTTCCTGGCCCCTGTGGGGCTGCAGGACTTTGGGCTGGGCCTTTCCACGTGCCTACGCCTCCTTCGGAGTGCTGCCCCCGACCTCGAGGCCTAGCTACCACCTGCCGCTGGGGACGGCAGCTCCAGGGTGGCACCAGGGAAAGCCCAGCTCCCACTACAGTGCCCAGTGCCATGCCCCAGGCCTCGCCGGAAGGACTGCTTACAAGTAGGCTTCTAGAAATCGCCCCATCTTCTACCATCTCTTAGCCGCCGGCTTCTGATCTAGTCTGGAATGAGCTAGACCCCATGGCCCCAAGGCTGTCTGTCCACCTGTCTGGCTGCACACACCCCCCCCATGCCCCCTGCCCCAGCACCCAGTATCTGGAACCAGGGGGAAGGTTGTCCATTCTAGCCATCAGCCCCCAACAAAGGCCTTCCAGACAGAGGTCCCGTCCCAGGTCCCAGCCCTCGACTCTTGGATTGGGGCCGGCGGGGGTGGGGGTGTGGGGGTGCGCGAAGAACCACAGCAGCAGCTCTGAGACAGGAATAGAAATTTCATTAAACTCTATGGACTTGGCAATCCTAGTGGTGCACGGATGGGCAGGGGCGGGCGGCGCACCGTTATTGCTACAGAGGATTAGAGGCGGCTTGGCCAGGACTGTCGCTGCACAAAGGGGCATAGAGGACGGACAAAAGGACGCTGCAGGGGCTGGGGGAGGAGCTCTGTCTCCACAGAGGGGTGGGGGCACGCAGGCCGCGGCCATTTGGCACGTGAACATGGCAGCACAGTTTGGGAGAAGAGTAGGTCTTTAGCCTGGTGGAGGGAGGGCAAGGGGGCTCGTGCAGGGTCCCCCTCCCCAGGGCTCGGGGCTCTGGAGAACCCCCAAGAGAGCAGTGCTTGGAGCAGCTGCTGGGCCCCAGGCCTGCACTGGCTGGAAGGAGGGCAGCGGCCTGAGCTGCAGAGTGAGGGGCACAGACCTGGAAGACATTGGGCCTGGAGCCAAGGGGCAAGGGGGGTGGCAACCACAGATAAAATACAATGTTTACAAAAATAAGTACACAGACAACAGGCCCAGGCGACACAGACGGACAAGTAACACTGCATGGCCCCCAGCCCGAGCCTACCCCCTTCAGAAAGCGTTCCACTTGCCCGGGCAGAGGCTGGGGGCTGCCTGGGGGTAGGGAACACTGGTCAGGAGGCTGGGCCCCAGGAGAAGCTGGTTGGGGCTCGCCAGAACCTCCGCTCAGGGCCATCAGAGGCCACGAGGGGCTCCTGGGGACCTGGCCCGAGACCCCTTCAAAAGTGCTTTGGGTTCCCCAGTCCCCTTCCTGGCCTCCTCCCGCCCCACCCCCGCTGCCACCTCGGCATCCAAAGGACATGTAAACACTGGGGACAGGAGCATGAGTGGCCGCACTAGCAGTGGAACAGCAGTTGCCCCGGCCAGGGTGTGGCAGGCGACACCTGTCCACAGTCCGTCCGCCCAGTCTCTGGTGGGACCAGGGGGTAGGAGTGGGGTGCTCCCCCCTGGCAGCTGTGCTCATATCCGGGAGTCCTGGAGGTGCTTGGAGCCGTTGCTACCCATGATGGGGATCTGGGCCTTGTCGGGGTGCAAGGGTTGAACCTCAAGCCCATCTTCAGGAGAGGGGGCCATGGTGGGGGCATAGCGCCCCGTCCGGTGCTCCAGGAGGGTGGGTCCCCAGTCTCTGCTTGGCTTGGTGGCATTTTTCAAACGCTGTGTGAGAGGCAGGTGAGATGTAGGGGGCCAGGCCGGTTAGAAGGGGGCCCCTCACCTCCATCCTGTCCTCTCTCATCCTTGCCCTCTGCCATGCCCCACCCCATACCTGGAGGAAGGTGTCCCCGTCTGTGCGGCAGAGGTGGAACAAGGCATAGAGTGGGATGCAGATGACCGAGGATAGCGCCATGAGGAAGCCAATGGCTACAGCCCAGCCTGGGTACTGGTAGTGGTTGTAAGTGATGGGTCGGTACTGGATCACCGTGAAGATAAGAATGAACTGCAGACAGGACGGGGAGACAGGAGGGGGTGAAGCCAGCCCTCCTGTTAGCTTTCCCCACCTCCCCCATTTTCTGTCCAATTCACAAACTAGGAAGGGGAATTCGGGGCAGGGGCAGAAGCAGCAGCCATCAGCAGGGGTTGGACCCTGGTGGGCACTGGGCACGGGAATGAGGGCTCTGGGCTTGAGCTGTGGGACAGCCCGGGACAGGCAAGCAGCTGTCCACTTGGCTCAGCCGGCACCCTACCCCACCCTCTCAGCCACACCCGGTGCTCTCCACCCTGATTCCTCAGTCTTCTCCACCAAGCCCGCAGCAGACGCCAGCTCCTCCAAGAAGCCTCTCTGGATTTCCCCCATCGCCCTTCTCTGAAAGGGCCTCCCAAAGGCGTGTGCCATCTGGTCCCCTTAGTGGAGTCCCCGGGTGCTGTGCACCATTAATGCGCTGGGCTGCTAACCAGATGGTTGCAAGTTCGAGTCCACCCAGGAATGCCTCAGAAGAAAGCCCTGGCGATCTACTTCTGAAACAAAAAAGTCAGCTGCCGGCGCGCACATGCACGCGCACGTGCACGCGCACGTGCACGCGGGGTCGCCAAGGGTTGGGGTTGACGGAATAGGAACCGGAGGCGGAACTGTCTTCCGCAGGCGGGGAGCTCTTGGTACTGTAGTAACTCGGGGTCTCCGTAGCCCAGCGCAGTGCCTGGCACGGTTGCCTTGGTAAAGGTGAGCTGCAGGGTGAGGGTGAGGGTGAGAGTGAAGCCCTGCCTGCTCGTGGCGGTGGATAGAGGGTGACAGAGGACCAGAGAGGCTGCAGAGGGAAGTGTCAGGCTGGCCTGCACCAGGGAGCTGCTTTAGTGACCCGAGAACAAATCAGGCCCCCAACAGCACCAGGCGGGAGCTAAAGGAAACGGGAGGGTAGGCAGGTGGCACCCGGGCCGCCTGGCAGGTCTGGGGGAGCCCTGGGGGCGGGGCTTGTCCTCCTGGTGACCATGTTGAGAACAAGACTCCACTCCAGGGAACTCTCTTGGGGCTGACTGCTCATTGTGGGAGCTGGGGTCATGCTCCCTGGACATCCCTAGGCCCTGATTTCCTGTGCACAAGCACCTTTCCCCTTAGCTGAGCTGGTAGAAGGATGGGTTTCTACGAAGGGCTTTTCAGAACTTTAAAATAATAAACCCCCAAAGAAAGTGCAATGGCCCCAGAAGCTCATGTCCCTAAAGCCTGGAGTCCTCATCTGGCCACCACCACCAACCTGGCTGCCGCTTCTTCCACCCACGGCAGTCTCTAAACCCCCTCAGTCTCTGCTAGCACCCCTGAAGACCCTTGTGCCCAGCTCCTGGCCTGCTCCCTCGCCATGGCCACAGCCCATTCTGGGTAGGGGAGCGGAGACCCGCTCAGGGCAGGCTCCAGGCCTCAGCCACAGGCCTGAGGGCAGGGGCATTTGGCGGCGGTGTGGCCGTCACTGCCTCCCACCACGTGCAGGAGACTTCTGGTCCTCCTGCTTTAGAGCTGGGCAAGTGGCCAGAGCGCTGCCCGTGCCAGGCTCCAGGAACATCCCACACCTCATGTGGTAGAGGCCTCGGCCCACCAGGGGCCTTTTATTCAGAAACCTGAGCCAGCGTGGAAGCCTGGTGCTGAGCTCCCCGCCAAGCGCAGGACTGGAGTGAGGCTCTGGACGCTACTCAGAGCTGGCCCGTCCCCTCTGCCTGTGCCTCACAGGGGCCTCCCTTCTCTGTGGCACGGTGATCAGACACCCCCCACCAGGACATAACGAAGCCGACTCCCATGGTTTCCAGCCAAAAGGCCCGTGTCTCCTTTCAGTAGAGCTGTACCCCACACCGGCGCCACACAGGAGCGCCACTCGGGACTGCTTCCTTCACAGAGCTCTTGCTCGCTGTGCAGTCGGGCGCCAATTACTTCACAGCTCTGTGCCCCAGCCCCCTGGACCAGCTGGGAACTGGGATGGGGACAGGGCTCGCTCGGGGAGCTGTACTAAGTGGTGTGCAGAAGGTCACTGCAACCCACAGGGGGCTCAGTAAGTGACTGCTGTCGTCGGACCCCACTCTTCCTGGCTTCGCCTTCATGGTGTGCACCCCGCCACCAGCCATCGGCATTTCCCGGCAAAGCCCGAAACCAACGCTGGGCCATCAAGCAAGGAACTTCCCACTCAGAGTCTTAGGGGTAGAACGGGGTGGCAAGGGGCTGCCCCCATGGGGTTCTAAGGCTGTGATCTTCACGGAAGGCTTCCGGGAAGCCGGCGGCCGCAGATTTCTCCTGTGGATTGGCCAGCAGGTTGGCGCCTCCAAGCCTTTCAGTGGGCACCTAAGTGCCTTTGGTTTCAGGAACAACTTCCTTCCCTCCCCAGCCAGGCGCCTTCTCCACGGCCAGGGTTCTCCACATCCTTTCCACACCTCCCGAGCCCCTCTTTGAGAGGGGGCCGATACCCACATAAAAAATGGTTCCCGGGGGACCCTCTGGGGACACCAGGAGGAGCCCACCCGAGGGAAGCCCAGAAGCTCTGCCAGCTGCTTCCCTTAACACTTCCCCTGGCTACAGCCTGGTACGTCGCCTGAGTCTGCTCGGGCTCCCTGCGGGCAGAGTTGTGGGTGCTGAGCCTCCCCGGGGAGTCCCGGCCAGAGGGGACTGCCCTGCTGGCGCTCCAGGGAGGAACTTACGAAGATGATAGCCGGGGAGACAAAGCGCCAGCAGATCTGGAAGAAGAGGGGTGGCGGGAACCCCAGCATCATCTGGATGTCCTGGAAGTAGTTCTGGTGCCCTGCAGAGAGGGGCGTCAGTGGCGCAGGGAGCAGGCTGGGTGTGGGGTTGCAGAGGCGGCCGCCGAGGCCGGGCACTCACCATAGATGTACATGATGGACACGCACATGATGCAGGAGATGACCACCAGGGAGAAGCTGGCCGCGTAGTTGTCCATCAGCAGCAGCCAGTAGATACCTGCCTGTGGGCCAGCGGGCAGCTGAGCCAGGGTGCCTGCCTCTGAGGGCACCTCCCCCAGCGCCCCTCCCTCGGTCCCTGGTCCTACCTGACTGGTGAGGGGGATGCCCAGCAGGAAGCCAGCCACTGCTACGCTCAAGGTCACGTAGATCTTTCTCTGAAGGATCCACTCGTTCCCCACCTCATCCACGATGGCCGTGACCAGTGTCTCCAGGAGGCAGAACTGCAGGGCGTACCGACGGCCCTCAGCAGGGCCCGGCCACCTCCCTCTCCCCCTCTGTCCCTCCCCCGCGGCTGGCCCACGGCCCCCTCGTACCTGAGTGCCCAGCCCCAGGAGGATAAGCATGAAGAAGAAGAGCAGGGACCAGAGGGGGGAGATGGGCAGCAGGGTGAGGGCCTCGGGGTACACCACGAAGGCCAGGCCGGGGCCGTGGTCGGCCACGCGGGACACATCCACGCCCAGGTGACTGGCCATGAAGCCCAGAATGGAGAAGATGACAAAGCCAGCGTACACGCTGGTGGCACAGTTGGTGATGCTGATGATGACGCTGTCCCTGAAAGGGACGGGGAGAGAGTTGCTGCCTCTGGTCCCCACCCCACCCCCCCACCCAGGAATATTCGGAGACCAAGAAAGTTCTAGAACAAAGGTGACCCCCATCTCTTCTGCTGCTCTGTACTGGGCCCTCTTAAGTGACCCCGTGGCTCTAGAGTGCTCAAAGACCTCTGAGGTGTCATTGTCCCCAAGCCTCTCTTTCTGCCAAAGGAGCTGCAGACAGTCTCAGACCTCCAAGGCACGATGGATAGGCGGGGCCCCAGGGGGCAATGGCAGGCGTGGGGGAGCAGGTGTCTGGCTGTGTTGAGGGCGGAGGGTCCTTACCGGTAACAGTTGTTGTGGAACTTGTTGTAGGAAGCCATGGTGATGAGCCCCCCCCAGGCACAGCCTAGCGAGTAGAAGATCTGGGAGGCCGCGTCACCCCACACCTGTGGGGGAGGGGGGCGGGAGCAGCCAGGTGCTGGGATCAGAGGACGGCACCCCGCTGGCTGCCCCCTGTCCCCGCTGCGGGAGGCCCTCTCCGCGTCCCACCTTGGCCTCCAGGATCTTGTCCCACTGCGGGGTCAGGTAGTACATGATGCCGGTGAAGGCTCCTTCCAGGGTCACCCCGCGGACAAAGAGGATGGTCAGCACCACGTAGGGGAAGGTGGCCGTGAAGTACACCACCTGGGCGCGAGAGGGCGCTGTGGGCTTCCGCTCGCGCTCCCTAGGGGGGCGCCCGGCACCACCCACCTTGCCGCAGCCCAGGTGGGGGAGGCAGGATCTTTGGGGGAGGGGGTGACCCCGCGGGCACTTGCCTTTCCGGAAGACTTGACTCCTCGGATGAGGCAGAGGAAGACGACCACCCAGGAGACACCGAGGCAGCCTAGGAGGGGCAGGCGCACCTCCCCGAAGTTCCCGATGTCGTCGGACAGCTTCAGCACGTAGAGCCTGGGGAGGGAAGACCGGGGCTGTAGGCCAGGGCCCTCCACCACGGACAGGCCCCCAGGACCCAGAAGCAGCCCCCCTGGGCTCTGCAGGCTCCCCGACCCTGCTTCAGCCTGCCCCAGGCCCTCTCCTCCAGGCAGCCTTCCAGCTCTTACCCTCCAGCTCCAGTGAGTGGGAGGAGGTAGCAGAGTGAAGAACAGGGCTCTGCAGGCCGCGTGTCCCCAGGAGCCGCTGCTCAGTATGCTGCAGTTACTCAACACCTGCGCTCACCTAGCCCAGGTGCTGGCATCTACCTAGTCCTAAAGGAGGTGCTGTTCCAGAGAGGCCCCAGGCCAGCTCCCCAGTGCTGCTGTCCTGTGAGGAGGGGTGTACTCATCTCCTGGGAGGAACGTGGCCAAACGGCTTCCCAGAAGAGCTAAGGCTTGGGAAATAGGTGGGAGGTGGTGGAAGATCACGGATGCTCCAGGCTAAGGGAACAGACAACAGGGCAGGGATCATGGGACAGCAGGACACAAGTGAAGCTTGGGGGTAGGACAGAAAGAGACTAGATTACAAAAAGCCAGGAGGTCGAGGCCGAGAAGCTTGAACTTATCCTAAGGATAATGGTGGAGCCTCTGATGGGTTCTCAGACTGGGGTACAAAGATCAGGGGACCTGGCAGCAGCCCTCATCTGGTGGAATAGTGGCCGGCGACCACAGGCCCCTGCCCTGCCACCTCTCTCAGAAGCTCTCCACACACCCTCCTGGGCACCCTAGTCTCCTCGTGTTCCTTAAATATGCCAGGCGTGCCTGCCTCAGGGCCTTTGCACCTGCTGCCCGTTGTCCGGAGGGCTGCTTGAATGCTCTGCCGTAGCCATCCTGAAATGTCGAGTACATTTCGAACGAGGCCCTGTCATTTTATTTTCACTGGGGCTTGTTATGTCACAAGTCCTGTCCCCACGGCTCCCTCTCTGACTTCTCTCTGGTGTCCTTAGAGCGGTCATCTCTGGCCCCTCCTCCCGGACCTGCGTTCTCTCCTGCCTTCTCTGCTAGGGTGTCTTCCACAGCGCCTAGCTCCTCCCACCACACCACACATGGTGCCCCTCGGGTCGTCGTCTGTCTCCATAATCATTGCTGTGCCCCCAGCACCTGGCACAGCATCCAGTACATTTTGGGGTGTGAATGAACGCACGCTGGTACAAAGGGGCCGGAAGGGGAAGGGGGCGGGGAGAAGCTGGGGCAAGACTAGTTTGTCTAGGCTAGGGGTGAGTGGCACCCGTAGGGTGGGGGCAACCACACCAGCCCGAGGACAGCCTGCGGGAAATGTAACCAAGACATGAGCCTGCCCTTGTCTGCTCACAGCTGGGGCCTCTGCTAAGCCCCATCAGAGGCTGTCCTCCACTGTTAGCTGGTTTCTTCATCGTCTTTTCCCTCAATCAGTCAAAGAGCATGACAACGTTTTTATTACCCTGTGATAGGATGTTACTATTCTGGGCCTTTAGGAACAAAGTCACCAGTCCTGAAATTTGGCATTTTTGGTTGCCCAGCCTGTCTGCCTTTGGACCTTGTAAGCAGGCACCTTCGGCCCTTCACACTAGCGCCTCCAGAGGGCACTGTCCCACACCTCACTGCACACCTGCCAGAGATTATTCATTCAATACTCTCTCTCTCTCTTCTTTGTCTCCCTCTTCTCTCTCTCACAGCCTGCCCCCTGGTGGCTTCGTGGCTTAAGTGTTGGGCTGCGAAGGTCAGTAGTTCAAAACCACCAGCCCCTCAGGGCAAAAGATGAGCCTTTCTCCTCCTGCAAAGATGTCCAGTCTCAGAATCCCTAAGGGGCAGTTCTAGGTTGTCTTACAGCAGTGGTTCTCAACCTTCCTAATGCTGCAACCCTTTCATACAGTGCCTCGTGTTGTGGTGGCCCCCAACCATAAAATTTTTTTCGTTGCTACTTCATAACTGTAAATTTGCTACTGTTATGAATCGTCATGTAAACATCTGATATGCAGGATGTATTAGGCGACCCTTGTGAAAGGGTCATTCGACCCCCAAATGGGTCGTGACCCACAGGCTGAGAACTGCTGTGTTACAGGGTCGCTATGAGTCAGAATGGACTCCAGGGCTGTGAGCTTTGTGGGATGATATATGTATGTATTATATAACATTATATATAACATAAGAGTCCAGCGTTATAATATTAGGGATTAAGTAGCCTAGTAGGCTAGTCCGGGAACCAGATAATGTATTCTACGCCTTTATTTTTATGGAACCTCTTTACACTTTTGATTTTGAACCATTTGTCTTTGAGATCAGCTAACTAAATAATGAAGAACGTCCAGTACCCAAACATTTCACCCTATCTCTTAGGCATGACCTCCCTGGAATGATGTGCTATTTTATACAGTCCCACACAAATCATCCCGTTTCTCCAAGCAGACGGTACCTGTCTTGAACACACTGTTCCCTCTTCTCCGGCGGTGCCTGCCATCGTACTGACTGAGTCCCTGGCGCTGTTCCTTGTGGCTTACGCTGTACCATCTCCTCCCCTCTTATAAGAGCCCAGGGCCATGGGTAGTGTCCATTCTCCCATTTAACACGTGACTCGCTGAGCCTGGGAGAGGTTTGGTGATGACGCCCAAGGCCATGTGGCCCAGAAGTGGCCGAACAGGCCCCGAGTGATGTCTCTGTGGCCCCAGTGTTGCCATGAAGACGCTGGGGGCGGGGGTGCTGGGCTCTGAGGCAGGGTCCACCTGCTGGGCTGGGCCCCGGGGGGCTGTGGAGGTGAGAAGGGCCTGGTAGTAGGCAGGAGGCCAGCCCACAGATGACTGGAAAGTGAGCATGCGGCGTCAGAAGGGTGGGGGAGAGGCGGGCACTGGCTTAGAAGTTTGTCCTTTGGGCTCTTTCTGCTTTCCGCAGTTCACACAGTATTAAATGACGCTCCTTGTGGTTAAAACTGGAGTGTTTTGCAATGCTTGCAACAAGCTACCCAACAGGGTTAGTGTTAGGGGCTCCAATGAGATTGTGCAGCTTTTCAAAGGGGTGCTGGAGAGCAGGGACCAGGGGCGCCTGCAGAGGATCATGGGTTTCATTTACGGCAAGCACCCCAGCCACAGTGGGAAGAATTCAGGCTTAAGAGCCAGATGGCAGGGGGTGGGGGTGGGGTGGCTTCTGCTTCCTGGGCCAGCCACTACTGACCAGTTCTGCCACCACTTACAACATCCGTCTTTGAATCTCAAAACTAGAGATTATAGTGCCTGGTGACATAGTATACATCTAGCACGTGGGAGTGCTCCCGTCCTGCCTCCTCTCCTTGTGGAAGGCAGTTTGGGCACAGTGATCTTAAGGGCCATTTCCTCAGGATCTCCAGTAGTGGGCAGCATGGAGTCATCCTGCCTGGGCCAGCAGGCCGCAGCTGGTTGGGCAGCTCTGGTTCCAGTGGAGGCCGAGTCCAGTTCGAATGTTCTCTGAGGGCTTTCCTCCTCCCAAACCCAGCTTTGGTGACTACATTTGCAGTCTCTTACCCACAGGTAGCAGGAGCTTGGTCAAGCCTCGCCACACAGAGAACAGGCCCAGGTGGCACACTGCTCTGACCTGTCTCATGTCCCGAGGCCAGCCTGCACTGCCCTCTGGCTGTGCAGGGGACTTGCTGCTCTGGGGCTGCTGTAAGGGTGCCCTGAGATCTTTACCCTAGGTGGCTCTCCAGGGCCAAGGAGCTCCTGGCAGACGGATCCTGGCCCAAAGAAGGTTCATCCAGGTCTAGGTGAAGTGGCCCACTCCATAGTGGAACTCAGAGGTGGTAAAATACCAGTTAGGGCCATGATGCTTAGTCCTCCACTGGCTGTGATAGTCATGAGGATGGTGTCTCTGGGTCCCCGCTGTGTCCCTGCTGTGAACAAGGGTCTGGTATTTAGAAAGGCTGAGAGGGGAGTCTGGCTGCCTGGGGTGAATCTTGCCTGCCCCTCACCGGGAGGCAGCAGCTCTGTCGCCCTTTCTCCGGCAGTCCCTGTCTTTGAGGGAAGCTGAGCCCCAGAGCTGGGCTCCGAGGATATCAACACGCAGTGGCTTGTAGGCAAATCTGCCGCTGACGCAGCGGCGGAGAGCCTTATTTTTGAACCAAAAGGTTGGCAGTTCGAACCTATGCAGTGACTCGCAGTGACTCCCTGTTCTCCCGAAAAGATGATTTAATGCCCCTCAGGAAAAAAAAAAAAATTCCAGAGGGGTGGCGATGAAGTCGAACTAGCTCGTGAATGAGCACACAGAGAACCACCTGCCTCTCAAGGTTCCCAACAGGAGAGTCTTTGCAGCAGCGCAGCTGGTTGGTTCAGACAGCCCACTGCTCGGTTCACAGCCAAGCACGTTGACCTGTGCATCATCCGGGTCCCGGGGCAACTCTACTCTGTCATGGGGCCCCGAGGAGGAGTTGGCAGGGACCTGCTGAACGACACCTAACATCAACAACAACGTGACTCTCGAATTGTCCCTCTCGCTGAGGGACCCCGTCTCATAATGGAGTCGGCCGAGCCCTCAGCCTCAGCCTGGCTTGGGAAGCCCCGCACACCTTGTGGTACCTGCCGGCTGCTTCTCTCCTGTGACTCAGTCCCCCTTGCCTTCCCCCTGGGTTCCAGCTTGCAGCCTTTGGCCTCTGCTTACTTGCTCACATCCCTCCGAGTCCCCTGTACAGCCTCTTCTTCACCTCTTCACAGTTCTTTTGGCCACTTCCTCTTATCCTACGCCCTCAGGATTGACCACGACCTGCTCGTGCTCTGCGTATACTTGCCCTGAGACACCTGTGCCCTCACCTGGGTGTTGTCTGTCTCCTCACGCTGCTGGGGGCTCTTTGGGGCAGAGGCTCTGGGTCATTCACACACACACACACACACACACACACACACACACACACACACACACACCACCGTGGGCACAGAGCTTGGAACAGGGTAGGCATCTGCATGTTTGTGGCATGAATGAGCCAGGCCTACCCAACACCCTCAACGCCCTGGGTCCCTCCGCAAAAGCTGCTGCCCTGGGCTCCCCAACAGGACATGAGGAATTTCCTCTAGGGTGTCCTGCTGTCCCCTTGCACCTGCTTGGTTGGGACTAGGTGTTCTGGGACACCTCTAGCCACCGCTTCCTTCAGCTGATGCAAAACTCTGGTCTCTTTGGCGCCGCTGAGCACCGAGGAGGCCAACGACCTCTCCTAAGTGTGACCATCCAACCCCTGGGCCCGGGAACGGCTTCTTCCCCCGGGCCGCCTGCTGACCTGCAACATGAGCTGTGAGTGCAGTCTCTGCAGGGTCTCTAAGTAAGCAGGTGTCCCCTCCTCTGGAACCTCCTGGCCCAGGAATGTGTCTCCCTACTCGCCCCTGACGCTCCTCACACAGCAGGTTCTTCTCAGCCGGTCTCTGCACCCTGCTCGCCTGGGCCCCAGTGCCTGTGCTCGGCTGGCTCTTCTCCCTAGGGTGCTACACCACCACAGACTTGCCTGCCCCCCCAGCCCTTCCTCACCCCACCTTCCAGGGCTCTCTGGTTGGCCGGCATCTTCTGCAAATGCCTCTTGCCTCTCCGTCCTGTTCTAAGCCCTCCATGCCCAGGGAAGGGCAGTCTGCTGGGACTGCCCATGGTAGGGCTGAGGGTTGGCATCAAGTCCCCTCTCTCGAGGCCCCCAGGAGCCTCACCTCCAGTACTCCTCGCTTGGGCTGGTCCTCCGGAAGGTGTGGTTGAGCAGGTAGGAGAGGTTGCTGGGTGGGGCGGCTGGCCAAGAGCCATTGGTGAGGTTGGTGGCGTCCAGCACGCCGGCGCAGTCAGGCGTGTTCCAGGGGTTATTGCAGTACGCCCAGGGCAGCACGTGGGTCATAGACGAGAAGAAGTAGTAGAAGGCGATGCAGATGACCACGTTGTAGTAGATGCCGATGTAGGTGGACACCACCATCATGCCGTAGCCCACGCCTGTGGCGGGGAGTGGTGGGGGGAACAGGCTGACACAGCTCGCCGGAAGGAGGCGAGTTAACAAGGGGCGGGCTTAAAGGGAGGGCCATGGAAGGGAGAGGTCTCGGCCTTGGCAGGGACAAGTGGGGTGAGGGGGGCACAGAGGGGTTCTGTGTGTACACTTGGTGGGAGGAGAGGGTGGAGGCCAAGTCAACACAGATCCCAGCATGAAATCCTCGACCTTGGCCACTGATGTACAGTCTGGGGTCAGCACCAGGGCTCCACGGGGGTCGGCATTGTTTGTACAGATGGGTGGGCCAGCAGGGCCCCCAGAGGCCTGCATGTGCTCATGTGTGCGTGTGCATGCGTGAGCTCAGCGAGGGCCCTGCCCAGGCCTCACCTTTGAACATGGGGCTGATCCTCCAGACCCCCAGGCAGCCCTGACTGGCGAACTGGCCGAAGGACAGCTCCATGAAGAAGAGGGGGACCCCGCAGAAGACCAGCATGACGAAGTAGGGGACCATGAAGGCACCTGGCAGGCAGGGAGAGGTCTGGCTCAGAGGCGAGCCTGGGAGACCCCACCCTGGGCTTCCTGTTCAGAACCCAACAGCAAAACCTTTGCTTTAGGTTGGCCCTGAGGGACCAGGGGCCTGCGTCCCAGGCACACGGCCCCCGCCCGTCCTGGAACTTCACAGAGGCTCCCAGGAAGCCGGCTCCCAACATTCAGAGAGGAGTCAGCGGTTTGGGGGTTTAACCAAGCAGCGCCACAGACAGACACAAGTCGCTGGGGCCTCAGGTAGGCCGGAACTATGCATCGGAGTGTTGAACATGGGGTGGGGGGGCTATAACAGGGACCCCCAGGGAGGACTTTCTCCACCTCGCCTCTCCCCAGGGGAGCAGGCCCTAAGCTACCGGGGCCTGGGGACTGGCAAAGGGGCCCTCCTGTGCTAGGGAGAGGCTGCTCCGGGTCCTGGTGGGTGGGCTCTCCCCGAGTGGCTGGGCCCTGCCCTGTGCCCACTGGGTACCTCCCCCGTTGCGATAGCAGAGGTATGGGAAGCGCCAGACATTGCCCAGGCCCACGGCATAGCCCACGCTCGTCAGTACAAACTCGATCTGGTTTTCCCAGTTGCCCCGTTTGAGGTTCTGGTCCCTCTTGGTGGCCTCGCTGGGCACAGCACCATTCTGTGGGGACAGGAGAGAAGCCACCATCAGCAAGGCGTTTGTGCTCCCGCGCCTGACCCTCTGGCCGCCCTGGCGGGGCCACTGTGAACCGCCCCCTCCCCCCCAAGTGCCCACCGCTCTCTGGGCTTCCCCTCTGCTGGCAGGAGCCACAGGCAGCCCTGGCAGAGGCGGGCAGTGTGAAGGAACTGCTGCCAGAAGATGCCAAGCGGGGCCTCCCTCACCAGCCCCCCAGCCCACTGTGCCAGGTGCACCACCCCACCTGAGGAGCTGCTGCCAACCTCTGAGAGGGGGCCCTGAGGAGGGGCTAGAGCCCAGCGTCCCTAGCCCCAGCCCCTCCCCTCTGGGTAAGATCTGGGAGCAGCTGAGCCTCACAGCGAGCAGCCAAGTCAAGCTGGGCACAAAGGGGCCTGTGTCCAGACAGCCCCCACCTCTCCTACCACATCACCAGGCTGAGCACGCTGCCCGCAGGCGGGCGGCTGCGGGGGCGGGATGCTGGCCCCTCCTGCAGCCTCAGACTCCTTCCTGGGGGCCTAGGGGCACGGGGTGGGCTGGGCTGTGGGGGGGCGGAAGGAGAGGCGTCACTGAGCTAGGCTGTACCTGGGGAGGGTGCTCTCAGTCTGAGACAGCCCCGGTGGCGCTGTCAGATGAGCACTGGGCTGCTAATAGCAGTGTCGGTGGTTCAAGCCCACCAGCTGCTCCTCAGGGGAAGAGACGAGGCTGCAGAGATCTACAGCCTCAGAAACCCCACACAGGCTCCGCAAGGAGCTGGCATCTGTGCGGTGGCAGTGGGTTACTGCCCAGACTGGAGAGGGGGCCCTGGGGTGTGGGGGGTGCTGACCCTGAGCAGGCAGAGGAGCCCGGGGTTGGAGACTCTATGTCAGACCTTAGAGACAGACTGCCTGGCTCGGGGAGACCCCTCGGCAATGGGCGCCAATGGGTCCCCCCCCCCCCACATACATGGAGAGATGGGGTACTGCAGAGGTGGGGTCTCCACGGGTGGGAGGGGCCAGTGGGGAGATTCTCAGCAAGTGAGGTGGAGGTGGGGTGCTTTTGGACCCATGCCCCATGGTTGAAGGGGCCCTGCGCGTCCCTCTGAAGGTGCGGTGTGTCACCCCTCCCCGTTCCACTGGGAGCAGGAACTCAAGCACTTGAGCCAGAGTCTGGGGGGCCAGCGGGGGCTCATGGAGACAGAAAGAGACCTGGAGTCACACCGAGACTCTCAGGGACCAGGCAGAAACAGAGACTCCTGTCTGTTTCTGCCTGGTCCCTGAGAGTCTCTCCAAAGGACACTCCAGCGCAGAGGTGGGGACTGGTGGCCGGAGAGAGACTAGACCCTCAACTGGAAGGAGAGAGAGGCCAGGGCAGCAGGCGCTGGCCGTCAGCAAAGCAGCCCGGACCCTGACCCCGATGATGGCCGATGGTCCCAGTCTTGCAGCCCTCACTCCCACACCGGGCACAGTGGGCCCACCCCCACGTGGCCATCACAGCACAGACACCCTGTGGGCCCAGACCACCCCGCAGGTCCAGTCGGCACTGCTTCCTCACACCCTGCCGGGGCGGGGATGGGGGCGGGGGCTCCAGGAATGATGAGATCTCCTTCCAGAAGCACCCAGAGCAAAGGCACCTGAACCAACCTACACGCCTGTCTTCAGGCAGCAGCTGAGACGAGACCCCCGGGACCCCGCCCCCTACCATCGCCCAGCCCGAGCCAGATACTGGGCATGCAGCAATGAACGAGACAGTGCAAAGTCTACTGGGAGAGCAAGCCATCAATGAGATACACCAAGCACATCTTCAATGTGCAACGTCAGGGTGGTCACGCAGGGGCCTGCTCAGTCACAAGGGCACAGGACGATGACAAGGGGGCGGGAATGGGCAGGGGGAGGTCAAAGGCCTCCCTGGAGAAGGCGCTGAAAGGTACAGTTAACTGAGCTCTGGGAGAGAGCGAGCTCATGGTCCCAGGTCCTTTGGGATGCACTCCTACATGGTTAGCCTGGTGTGTCACCGACTGCTAGGACCTCCTTCCAGGTAGGCTTAGCAACACCGCAAGGTCAACGTTTTTGGAGAGCGTGTGGCCTGCCTGGGTGTCATTCATTCCCAAACAAAACCAAGGACCCATGGAGGCACCTTAGTGACGTCACTCGGCCGTTAACCAAACGGCTGGGGGTTTGCACCCTCCCTCCGGTCCCCAGAGAGAAAGACGTGGGAATCTGCTGGGGTCAAGATCACAGGCTTGGACCCCCTCGGGGCAGTTGTACTCTTCTACTCAGGGTGGCCGCTATGTCAAAACGGACGCAGGGACCAGCAGGCTTGGTTTGGGGTTTAACCACTGGCTCTACAATAGCAGTTCTATTCGGTCTAAGGCTTGTTTACTTAGGGGGACAATAGGGGATTGTGGCCACCACAGTGGATGTGGGTGGGGTCACAGAGCAGCAGTCACAGCTGTAAAAGGGACAACCAGCTGTCCAGGACAGGGCAAGACAAGGGCAAGACCCTTTGTGGAGATCAAAGCCCAATGACAACCCCCCCCACCAGCACTGTTTGAGCTTCGAGGTCCTTTTTCGGTGGCTCCAGGGGATCAGACGTGGCTGAGGCCTGTTCCTTCCCTGGCACAGAGGGGACCCTGTAGGAAGGGGAGCTGTGCCCCCAGCCATGTGCCATGGGCAGCCGCTGGGCGGGAGCTGGCTGCACAGGGCATGTGAGACGCCCTAGGGCTGGGCAGTGGCAGAAGTTACTGATAGTACAGGGAGAGGCCAGTGGCATGAAACCCTTCAAGCGGGGCAAGGCGTAGCCCGTGGGAATGGGCCGTTTTGTGCTCCTGGGCACCTGGACTGTGGAGCCGTGGGTGTGGCGCCGCTGCGGGCACCTCCCCGGCCCTCAGTCTGACTGCAGTCCCGACTGTCTAGATCAGTGTGCGGGCCTAGGCCGGCTGAGCTCTCTGGTGAAAGTGAGACCTGGGAGGAATCGGGAAGGCACCCCTTTTGCCGGGCCTTTCTGCGCCCACTATTTCCCATCCTTCTCTGGCTCTCCTCGGGGGGCCCCCCTTCCCTTCCTCTGCAGCAAGTCAGGGCCCACCGATGGCCAGCCCTTTCCAAGGCTACACAGCTCCCCCCTTCCCATCCTCTGTCTTATCTCCAGCTTCCTGTCTTCCTTCGGGCGGGTGGCTAGGCCACCAAGGTGAGCCCCTAGGGCACTAGCTCCGAGGTGCCCACCGGAGAACCCCATGTGCGCACTGCCGGCCCCGTTGGCCTCACTCGGCTGGGCACCGAAGACTGGCCGTGCCCCAGGCTCTTCTGCCCATCACCCAGCACCCACCTCCTGCCCCTTGCGGCTCCCCCGCCCTCATGGTTCACACCTCAGGGTGAGTTGAGCCCTGGTGGCTCATTTCCCCTCTGGGCTGGCCTGTCTGCCCTGACACCCCGCCCGGAAGCTCTGAGTGGCCACTTCCAGGACAAAGCCACCTCGACTCAGGCATTGCCATTGGGCCCAGTGGGTGGTCTCCAGGTCAGGGCTGCCCTGGTCTGGCTACCATGCTCTCCCAGAGTGGGTGATTGGGTAGAGCATCTTCCATGACCTCTGCCCCAGACACACACACACACACACACACACACACACACACACA